TGGGGGTAGGGGGGAGATTGGAAGGGAAATGGGAGATGATTGATTGTTTGTATCAGTTTTCTTTTGGGTGTGATAACACTGTTCTAAAATCAATTGTGGTGAACATTGCACTACAATGAACATAGTAAAAACCATTGTACACTTTAAAAATTTTTTCTTTATTGATTTTTAGAGAGAGGAAAGTAGAGGGAGAGAGAGATAGAAACACTGATGAGAGAGAACATCAACTGGCTACCTCTGCATGCCCCCCACTGGGGATCAGGCATGTGCCCTGACCAGAAATTGAACTGGTGACCTCTTGGTGCATGGGTCACACTCAACCACTGAGCCACACTGGCCGGGCTGAACTGCTCACTTTAAATGAGAGTGTTGTATGCTTTTTGAGTTGTACCCTATTAAAACTGTTTTTAAAAAAACAACCAAAAAAGCCCTGGCCGGTTTGGCTCAGTGGTTAGAGCATCGGCCTGTGGTCCAGAGAGACCCAGGTTCAGTTCCCACTAAGGGCACGTACCTCGGTTGCAGTTTGTCCCCGGCCCTGGTTGGGTCATGCCGGAGGCAGCCACTCAACATGTCCCCTTCACATCGATGTTTCTCTCTCTCTTCCTCTCTCTCCCTCCCACTCTATCTGAACAAAAAATGGAAAAATGTCCTTGGGTGAGAATTAAAAAAAAACACACAAAAAAAACAGACAAGCAAGAGAGAGGGAGAAGAGCCAAATCTAGCCATTGGAAGGACCTACATGCAGGGAGGAAGAGAGTACCATGCGTTTGGATATTGGACCCCCCTTCCCTGTGCTGTGGTCCCCTTGTGCAACTCTGAAGCTAGCCCCTTATGTAGTCTTTTCCTTCGAACTCACACAGAGATAGTAGATTGAGCCTGTTGCTGAATGTCACTCTGCGTTGCATCTTTGAAAGCTCCCTCCCTGCCCCGGCCAGGTTACAGACACTGCAGGAGAAGAAGGCTCAATGGTAAGGCAGTTTTGCAGCCCCCCCCCCCCTTCTATGCAAGGGGTAGCTGTGCATGTGCCAGGTTCACGGGGAGGATTTGTTCTCCTATGGTCTTTTCCATTTTGTCACACGCCCTCACTCATTTTTTTAAAAGATGAACATTTTTAATGATACAACCTTCCTAGGTTGTGTGAATTCAGGTTTTATGATTTATATTTTCAAATTTATGAGTGTCATGAAACAAAAATGCCTAATCTCATCCAAGCTAACCTTGCCTTTTAATCACAATGGTTTTCATCCTCAGGTATACTTTATTCTTGTGGCAATTTATTGTTTTGGGACTGGTTCAAATTCTAATGGGAAACTGTTGTTGGCCCCTCGGATCAAGGTGACCAAAATTCAGCACCGGGCGATAAGTTCTTATTTCACCAGCCTCAGCCAAACAGACTTCATATAAAGATTCTGAAAGGCAGAGAAAGAAATTAAAGAAATGGTGTTAGGACCGTTGCAAAGAACCCAACGTGAAGAAGCCGTGGAAAATAAGATGAATGTATTCTTATCTCTCTGTTGTTTGAAGCCCAAGCTGACTTAAGGCAAGATGGTCAAGTTTTCAGCCTGGATCCAGATGCATCTTTATTGGCTTTTTCTGCCTCTGTCTTTCCGCTTCGCGGGGCCTTGCAGCCCTCGCTCAGCAGCCCACCCGACCCCCCACCACCGTGATCCCCGTCCAGCGTCTGTCCCTGCCCATCTGCCCTCTGTGGACGTGGCGTGCGCGTCCCGCTGTAGAGCCCGTCTTGCTGAACACCGCTGGGTTGTGGGAAATAGTCTAATAGACCAATTTATTCTGCTATAATAGGTAGATCTCGAGGGTGTTTGCATCAAAACAAAGACTCCTACAAGCAGGGATCCATAACCGAAAAGGAGAAATGAAGACTGGGTTTGAAGCACCGAGGCAGGTCGGGGGTAGAGAGACTGTTTGATGTGTCTCTTCTAAAATGATTTAAAAATGCTCCTCCCCTGCCCTTGAATTGTACATTTCTCTATGATTATTACTTTCATGTATCCAGGTGTTTATTTTTAACCTATTCCTTGTTGAGCCTTTAATGGTAGTCATGTTTACATAAGGCAAGTCATGACAGCCGAAAACAGTCATGAAAGATGAAAAAGTAGGGTGATAAAGTGACTTCAACAGGGCTGGTCAGTGGCTCTAACTGAGGTTCCTTGGAGGTCAAGTTTAGTGTTGGTTCCTAATGGAAACAAAAGCAACTTCAGTTGAGCAAGGAAACCTACCAGCTTGCATGCCGGCTTGCATTTCGGAAGCAGCTGAAGAGTTTTGAATCACGGGAGGCATTTCATTGATTTCCCAGGCTCAGATTTTTAGGGAGTTGGGGATGCACCTAGCAGTTCATAGGGACCATCTGTTAGATATTTGTTTGCAAAATGAGCTGTGTTTACGAACCTGGGTAACCAGTAATAAAGAGCCCAGTTTTCTGCTTTCCTTCACCTCAAAGATTTTTGCATCAAGATGGCAAAAGTGTGAAAAGTCAGTAGCGTGGAAATGTTTCAAGTTACATTTCAGAGATTCAAAAGGGGGTTTTATTGTCTTTTAGCTTCTCTTAGTTTTATTCTGCAATGTGGGCACCTCCCCAAATAAAGGAAAGATGCAAAGGAGCCTGTCATTCATTTTCACCCTTTAAAAATGAGACGATATTCTTATTTTGAAAAATCAGCATGTTTGCTGGTAATCGTGGACTGTTTAGACCCTTTCCCCACTTTAAATGTGTTACATGTAATCAGTGGGTAAGCTCTTCCACAGACCTCCCATTCACTGTCCATGATGTTGACCTTGGTTGGACTTGCTTTTATAAGTAGAGTCCACACTGACACTCTTTAAAGTTCTGACAATTCTGGGTCTTACCTCATCAGACTGGGCCACCGTCTCTTTGTTAGTGGGCTCTTTTTCCCTCTTTCTCGCTACCTTTTTTTTTTATGCATACTTTTTGGTTCAGATGCTCATTCACATCTCTCTGATAAGCGGAGTTTGATTTGTAGCTAATTGTAGCAACAGATTTTCATTATTTATGAGTGTCATTGTCAGAATCCATGTGGAAGTCTGGCGGAGATGAAGGTGATTCCAGCTTCCGATAGGACCACAGCAGTGAGGTGATTAACCACACCAGTTCAGACGTGCGGAGGCCTGGCGGGTGCTCATACCTTTACAACCAAATACTTACTATATCGTGCGTGATGTGTGATCCATTTTCTAGAAAAGTCAACGTGTTGTTATTTTGTCATATGTAATATCTAACACCTTAAGATACCGGGGTGGGCAAAAAAAATAGGTTGATAGTTGGATGTGAAACAGAGTTTGTTCTTGTATTTTTATTTATTAATTCTTGTGTTATTTATTTCTGTTATAACTGCAAACCTACATTTGCCAACCCCTGTATAATCTGTGTTATTTCTCACACCAGCCAATCAACTTTAAACTGTTTGTAGTTTTAAGAAATAGAAGTAGGAACATGTAATCTATGAGTAATATAAATGCTTACTATTCTTTTTTTTTTTTTTGTATCCTCACCCGAGGACATTTTTCCATTTTTTGTTCAGATAGAGTGGGAGGGAGAGAGAGGAAGAGAGAGAGAGAAACATCAACGTGAAAGAGACATATCGAGTGGCTGCCTCCTGCACAACCCAACCAGGGCTGGGGACCAGCTGCAACCGAGGTACATGCCCCTAGTGGGAACCGATCTCCGGTCTCTCTGGACCTCAGGCCGATGCTCTAACCGCTGAGCCAAACCGGCCAGGGCAATGCTTACTATTCTTAAAAGGTTTGTATTATGTGGTAGCATTTAAATCCGTTTTTATGTACCATTATTCTTTACATGGTTTTTGAATCTGGGTGGTCCCTAACTCCCAGGCGCTACCATTCCCACACAAGAAAGGGAAGAACCATACACACCCTACAAGTAGACGCTTCTCTGTCCTCGTCTCCATAGTATCAGAAACACAGGCGAAATTTCAAAGGGAACTACAGAATTAGAAATGTCATTAATAACAGCAGTCATTTGAAAGTGTCACCTGATTGAAACACTTTTGCTTTAACTTATTGCAGCGTCATGAGTTTTATTATGCTCAATTTATTAGTACAGGCCTGCAGAGTTCATAGCCATTTATTTTGCAGGGGACTTGATTTTTTATCATTAATTTTTAAGTACGTAATACTCCTAGTATATATATTTTTTATTTATTAATTTGTTTTTGTTACAGATGTTTCTCATTTTTCCCCCATTGAGACCCTCCTCCCATTCCTCCCCCACACCATCCCCTCCTAGTATATTTTTAGAGTGCATTTCATTTGCAAGAATTGGTTTACTCTAATCAATACAGATGTTTCCAGGTGTTTATTAAAGCAAAAAGTCTAGGTCATTGTACTCCAAATTATCAAGACATTGTACTCCAAAACTGAGTATATGCGCGCGCGCACGCACACACACGGTTGTGTTTATGTTGGTTGTTAAGGTAAGGTGGAAAGATACATTAAAGGTTGACCAAGCTCCTTTTACTACTTATTCTTGAGGGAAATCTTTTCTCTTCCAAAGTGGTGACATCTGGATGGGAAAATCCTGTCATTTAAGACCAGAGCCAGGACATGGGAAATAATTCCGACACTTCTGTTGCTTCATAAGTCGCTGAACTAAATTCTGTCACTGATAACTAATCCTTTCTGGGCTGTTTTCCTGTCTGCACCGCTCACTTGCCCATCTCTCTGGGGGTGCTTATGGCTGAAAAGGTTTGCAGAGGAGCTCTGAGCAGGGCGTGTGGAGAGTAAGTGGGGAGGCCCACCCCACCCCCCACAGTCTAATTGCACCCACTTGACGGAATGCCATGCAATGCTAATGTAAACACTTGGTGCTCATAGCTGAAAAACCTGAATGTCTGTATTTTATGGAGAGTTTCTTTAAAAAACAAATGAATAGAAAAAAAAAAAAACACTGAAACTAAAGCTAAACACATACTCACTGGTTGTTGTCTTTTTTTCCCCCTAATTAGGACAGAATTTTACCCTAAGGCAGTTAGGAGTTTGTGAACCAGCAACTCGAAGAGGACTGGCGTTTTGTGCGGAAATGGGGCTGCCCCACAGAGGTTACTCTCTCAGTGCAGGGTCAGACGCTGATACTGAGAACGAAGCGGTGATGTCCCCAGAGCATGCCATGAGACTGTGGGGCAGGGGGGTCAAGTCAGGCCGCAGCTCCTGCTTGTCCAGCCGGTCCAACTCAGCCCTCACCCTGACAGACACGGAGCACGAGAACAAGTCGGACAGCGACACTGGTGAGTTCCACTTTTGGCTTTATGACTCGGCATTCAGTGCTTCTGTTTTGGTTGCTGATGGGAGCTTTTTCCTTTCTCGCCTTTCCTCTTTTCCTGCCGTCTCTTTTTTTCTTTTTCCTTTCTTTTAATACAGTAAAACTCAAGGAATGACCTTGAATCATGCTTCCTCCCCCCTGGAAAAAAAGATCAATATTCAAAATGAGATTGTTCAATTATGCAAGCGGTCGGTGATGTGTGAGCTATAGTTGTGAAGAATAGTTTAATCGTGTACAGGGGAAAAAAAATATTAGCTTTGACTTATCTTGGACCATGTCACCTGTTATCCTCTGTGGCACCTCAAAGTGAGTGGTGATAAAGTTTACCCCAGAGTCAGCTTGCAATCAAAGATGTCTTTGTAGATTCCTCTTGAAGATACTGCAAAGAAGTTGCAGAATCCTAGAATGGGTGACTGAGCACACAGAATAGTTTATTAACAGGGCTCAAGTGATTGAAGAACAAATTTGATCATGCTTTAAACTGACTGGTTGATGAGAGCAATTGAAATCTTGGTAAAGGGGGGGAGCGTGGCCTTTGATGTGCTTTGGGAACTGGATTACTATGCAATTAAATCCACGCAGAAAATTGGATTTTAGGCTCTCCAAACTGCAGCTGTACATGTTGTAAGAAAAATGTCTTTCTAAATGATTGGAACTTTTTTTTCCTACTGCCCCGTGCAGGATAATAAAAATAGTTCATGTATATGCAATCATAGATATTAAAGAACACGTCATGTTCAGTCGGTGCCACTTCTGGGAAAAACTGGAGCATCGGCACCAAGGCCCTGGACACCAAAAAGACATTTGTCCTTCAGCCTCTACTGCTGGCAGTGAGCATGCTTGTGCTCCAGTCTAGCTGTGAATGCGGTGCGTGCACACTGCATCAGAAATGAAGGGAAAGTTGAGATGAAAGAATTGCATGACATTTGAAAAGAAAGAGCGCTGTTTTACCAGTGAGAGTTGATTGAATCTGTCCGCTTCGCTCGCGAACAGGATAGCGGGTCTGTGGTCCTTCCACCTCGGCTGGGTCACAGTGAGAGGTGGTAGCCGGTGCTTCTCCTCGTTTAGTCTCATCTCCTTTCAAGAAAGTCTCATTTAAACCAGCTAAAGCGGTACCTTATGTGGAATACGTTAGTGCATTAAACCAGAGTCAGAATCAATGAAGGGCGTGTGCTCAGTACACGCGTATGAAAGTGTCCGTTTTGGGTGCAGACGGGCTGTGCTCCAGCCCGAGAGAGAAAAGGAGGCAGAGTCTTCCGACAAAATGAGTCTCAGAATCAGGCGGCCCACAGGCGCCTGGGCGCATCCATTCACCTCGGCGACACCTGTGATTCTGTCCGTTCTCGCTGCGGAGGCAGAAGCCACTGGCTGTAAACACATGAGCTTTGGCATGAACTGTGCTTCCTGTCTGTCGGCGTCTTCCCGTACTAGTCCTGGGGTGATCGCAGATTCCGTGGTTATATTTGAATGTAGTATTTGGCGTTTAATTTTCCCGAAACACATGATAACATTTATGATGGTTGTTGGAAACAGTGCAGAGGACGGGGGGAGGGCGCATTCACGCTCACACAGACCATCCATGTCCACATCCATCAGGTATTTTCTCACACTGGGTCAGCTTGCCCCCCGCCCCACCTCTCTAGTGTCTCTCTCTTTCCTAAAGAGTGGGCCTTGCTGTGCTGTCTGTGTTGGTAAAGTATAAATTAATGTTATCATTTAAAAACATTAGATTATCTGCTAAAACTATGTCGCAACGAATTCCCAAACACATGCCGTATCTTTTCTTTGCAGAAAAGATAAAACACACTGTGCAGCCTTTAGTTAACAGTCTGTAAATCCGAATGACGGGCCCTCCCCCTTTGCATGGACTATTGCCGACCCGCGAGGAACGGGTTTCTGCAGGAGCCTCGTAGACTGTGTTCTCGGAGACATGGAGAGGTCCCTGTCTTCAGGTTGTTGTGAGGCCCGACGGGGAGAGCCAGGAAGGCAGTGTCAGGGCCTGGCCTTGCAATTCGGAACACTTGGCAGCGTTGGTTGAGAGTAAACAGGTCAGCTAAGTTAAGAGTATAAAGTGTCAAAAGCAATGTTTGTTGAGTTGGGCAAGTGATGACTTAAACTTGTGTTTACTCTTTTCCCAAGGTTTGGTGGTGGTTCTTTTTTAAACATTTTGATGGTCTAAGAACTCCTAATGAGATCAACTTCAGGAAGAAAACAAAAGAGGAAATAAAGTACATGTGGGCCCTGGTGACTGCTGCTGTTTCATAGTTAGTATGTGTGTCCACAGGACACTGGATTAACGTCCTGCGTTCTCAGTGATTAGTCGGAAGGAACGAGATTCCATTGAAAATAATTAATTACATTAAGATTGGCGAAGCACTTATCTTCTGAGATGTGTAGTAGACCTTGTCATTTTGAATATTGGAATTAAGCAAGAGTATTTAGGATTTTTTTTTTTTTTTTAACGTAAGAAAACTATAGCTGTTTTTTCTGAAGCTGGGTTATGGTAAAAACGAAAAGTTGTAATCACACCCGTGGCCTTCTAACATCTTCATAAACATTATCCTCAACATTATTACATATGTCAGTTCACCACTCCTAGTCAAGTATTTCTAACATAAAGTTACTATAAATAATTCAATTCTACCCTCCTCAGGTGTTTTAATTGCTCCAGCTTTGAAAGACTATTTATTTTCCAGTTATAGTTCCCTTTGACTTCCCGTTATTGTAATTGTTTAATTTTATTCGTTTTGTACAAACTGAAGTCATGCCCTTGAAAGTGCTATCATACCACTAGAAGTTGAAACGAGAAGGCCACGTGTGAAACATCCGACCAAAGTGAAACTAATTTAGAACCCAGACCCTGACTTGTTTTCATTCTATTTAGCATGGGAGTTTTCGTTGACTATTTTCATCATTTGAAATAACTGTGAATAGAGCTATTTTCCCCAGAAAAAAAAAAAAAAAAGTTACTCAACATTTGTAAAGGTATGCAAGCCGAGTGCCTGATGTTCTAGTTATAACTTCACAGGAGAGTTTAGTAACTAAAAAGGGTTCGATTTCATTTATTTATCGATAAAGAGGCCAACAGTTCAAGTGAAGACCTTGCTGGAAGTGCTGTGAGGCTAATGAAATTTTGATGGTTTGCGCATCCCACGAGAGTGACCGAGCATTCGGACCGTGTCACACGTCTCCGTGTGAGCCGAGATTCAAAACAAGTGATAAAATTTATTATTCCACAAACTAACTCTTCACCAGCCATGAGGACTTGAGGTTAAAAAGCATTTTAGCCCTGGCTGGTTTGCTCAGTGGTTAGAGCGTTGGCCCGCAGACCAGAGTCATGGGTTTGATTCTGGTCAAGGGCACGTACCTCAGTTGCTGTTTGTCCCTGGCCCTGGTAGGAATTGTGTGGGAGGCAACTAGTCAGTGTGTCCCTCTCTACCCCCCACCCCCAACTCTATCTGAAGATAAACAGAAAAATATCCTCAGGTGAGGATTTTTTTTTTTTTTTAAAGCATTTTGGGGGTGTGGAATTTGACAATATGTTGAGTTTCATATGGAATCCAAATTGAGGATATGAAGTAGTCCTTTCTTGACACATACTGATTGCTGTGGTTGTGTTCATTGTCCTATATCAACTGCCATGCACCAGGGTTCGTGACCACCTAGTAGCAGTTCTAATAAGCTGATGAGAGGTTGCAAAGTAACTGATGGAATGCCCTAATCAAAAGTAAAATTACCAATATGCTCTGGTCTGGTTTAGGCATTTTTCCTTCTCTGATGCATTGCTAAAACAAAATAAAATAAAATAAACCCTGACTGATTTCCCACCATTTAGCTTTGCAGCTAATCTGATCTCAGTTCCAATGATCTTCATAGATGTCAGGAACGAAGAACTTTAAAAAATAAATAAATAAATAAACTTTAAGCTTTAAATATGTTAGTTTGCGCATCTTTTCCCAGAAAAATCCCAGCGTGTCTTTGTCCTTTGTCACCCAGCACTGTGGTGTCATTACAGATGCCTGGGTTTGGGTCATGAGAGTAGGGTTTACATTTTTTTCATTCAACCTCTGATCTTTGTTTCTGAATCACCCCAAGTTCAAGTTCCCATCTTTTCCATTTCTGCCTCGTTGTACCGCGAGTTCCTGCCACTGCAAGTCCCCACTTTCCTCCTCTTTCCTGTCCCCACAGTCTCCTCCACCCCTTGGGAAGCCGTTGAATTCAGACAGACCCGCAGGAGCTGGCACCCCTCTTGTGCGTAACGACTGTGACTCGGGACCTCGAGAGCTTCCACGGGGGCAGAGTTGAGAACGTGTTGCAGTGGGCAGACCACCTGGGTTGGACTTAGAGTCCCACCTCCCAGCTATGTGACCTTGGGCTTAGTGCTTCCGTTGGCACAGGGAGGAAATCGAGATAAAGTAAACAGTATACAGTCTTTAGAGGTTGTTGTGGGGGTTTAATGAGTACAGGTGGCATCTAATGAAATCCAAAGGAAGTATCTGCTCCTGTTATTTATAGAAGCGGGACGGTTATTTCTCTATCTCATTCATAAATGGTTATGAAGCTTAAGTTAGATAAACAGTATCAAGTACTTACACAATTTTGGCCCACAGTAAAAGTCCCCTCCCTCCCCCACCTCTCCCATCCCCCCTGTCTGCATTAGTGACGTGTTTGTTCGTTTGGGACATTGAGGGAGAAATACTGGTCTTCTCCAGGACGGCACTGCTCATTTGCAGACTCTGGAATCTCCGTCACTATTTATTGATTCCTTTGTTTTTCTCCAAACTTCCACATCCTTTTTAATTTACTGTAATTAAATGAATGTACATTGAATGATGCTGATAATTAGTCTGATGGCTGCAGACTTCAAAGACTTTCACATGCTCCTTCCCCTCCCTGCCAACAGAATTTCAAAAGTAGTGTTTCCCTGGAAGGCGTGTTACTTAGACAGGCAGTCAGTTAAAAGGC